TTCTAATGCTTTAAGGTACAGTTGACCTTTCCAGTGGCACCATATTACTTCAAAGTACATAGTACTTTACCATGCACAAACTTATTCTGCATACTTTGGTTCATTTGGATCACTACACTCTTCTGAGATAAGTGTTATTGGAATACTTTTGGTTACCTGGATAAGGAAATTAAGACGAAAATGACAAATTTAGAGTCATGTGACCTTTATTAGTGGTTGTACTCACCTTCAAAGCTGCATCTTCTGACTTAAATAGATTCCTTCTACTTAGTTAACCACTTCTCTTTCTTCCTCTGCAAAGAACCTCATTCTGATCACACCACACTTTATAATGACACATTGATGTAATTTAAGTCCACCAGTGGTCTTCATCAGTCCCTTGACAACTGATAAAACTGGAAAATCCTCTCTGCCTCCTCAAACTACACAAGAGCAACTCAGCCATAATGGAGAATCAGACTCCTTTCATTCAAGAAAGATAAATGCAACATAATAATAACTAAAAAGATTTTTCAAAAGCGACCATGTGGAGAGCCTACTGATTTTATCCCTTTTTACTCTGCCTAGTAGGGACACCTGGATGGCTCAGTTGGTTAAGCGAATGACTCTTGATTTTGGTTCAGGTCATGATCTCATTATACATCAGATCGAGACCCATGTGAAGCTCCACACTAACAGCACTGAGCCTGCCTGGGATTCTTTCTCTTTCTCCCTCTTTGTCTCTCTCTCTCTCACTCTCTCTCTCAATAAATAAACAAAATATAAATAAATCTGCCTAATGAAAGCACCACTTGTTCCTTACATATGTCAGAGAAAATGGCATATAACTACACTTATGTTTAGAAATATTATTACATACAAGAATGTTAATCTAGGTGAAGTCTCACATGAAAAATCTAATTTATAAATAATTTGGCAGACTTTCTAGGATTTACCACAAAAGAACTTTTTTCTGAAATACAGCACAGAATCTGATCCTGATCCAATCACAGCACTTCAATTAAAATGATTGTGGTAAGACGGGAAAAAATTATGGCAAAGATGTGAGGTATATAAGGGAATATAAGGTTGGAATCCAAAATGAATGTCAGAATTAAGACTTGAATTCACAATTTAATTTTATAAGCACTGTGGAAAGGTATATACATTTTTATATAGATCTTCCTTGACTTATGATGGGGTTATGATCTGACAAACCCCTTGTAAGTTGAAAATAATGTAAATAAAAAATGTATTTAATATATCTAACCCACCAGGGGCACATGGGTGGCTCAGTCAGTTGAGTGTCCAACTTTGGCTCAGGTCATGATCTCATGGTTTGTGAGTTTGAGCCCCACCTCAGGCTTGGGGCTCTCAGATGTCATTGCAGAGCCTGCTTTAAATCCTCTGTACCCCTCTCTCTTTCCCTCTCCCCCACTAATGGTATCTCTCTCAAAAATTATATCTCTATCTATCTATCTATCTATCTATCTATCTATCCACCTACCTATCTATCTACCTATGTATCTAACCTACCAAACATCATAGTTTAGTCTAGCCTGTCTTAAACTTGCACAGAGCACTTATATTCATCTACAGTTAGGCAAAATCTTTTAACACGAAGCCTGGTATTTTATAATAAAGTTTTGAATATCTCATGTAATTTATTAAATAGTATACTAAAAGTAAATCCAGATAGGTTGCATGGATCCAGAATGGACCCATAAGTGTATTGATTGTTAACTCTGGCAATCACATGGCTGACTGGGAGCCATAGCTCACTGCCTCTGCTGTCTAGGATCATGAGAGAGTATTTATCTCAAATATCATTAGCACCAGAAAAGATCAAAATTCAAAATTCCAAGTGTGGTTTCTACTGAATGTGTATCATTTTCTCACCATTATAAAGTTTAAAATGCCAAAGTCGAACTATTATAAGCCAGGACTATTTGTATGTGCATATACAATATATACTTATTAGACATTTTTTATGTATTACAGATTTCACACAGTATCTCTATTTTCAAATGATTTTACCACAAGCCACAAGATGTATATCATACTACAACTTAAACTCATAAAATTGTAAACTGAGCAGGTGCATCATTAGCTAATTGTATTTCCCTCCACAGTATCATCAAGCTGCATGCTAAACCATGGGGAGCAAAGCCACTAGACAACCATCTTAAGATTAGAAACAGACGACTTTCACCCAGATAGCAATTTTAAAGCTATAAACAGAACAATTCACCACAAGATAGCAATCGGGAGACTGTAAACCAAATGGTACACATGAGACATGCGAATATTGAAATATCTGCTCTTGCAAGTTACCCACAGATTTTTTAAAAGAAACACACTTATCTTGCATACCTGCTTCTACCTTCTTATACGTCCAAGAGAAGTAGCATGTTATATAAAATGATACAATCCAAGGTTTTTTTTTGCCTTTTTTAGAAACAAAGAAAGACAGATTTCAAGTTTTAAAGACATATTTTATTTACTGCCCATTGATTCCTATTAAAAGACACATATGTACCATAAAATATCCTGAAGATAAAATCTTAATATCTCATTCCAACTATGTTAAATATCTTCTTATGTCATCTTCTTCCATGTGGTATAGGGATTTATTGATTCATCTTGCCTTTACTCAGTGCAAAGCTATTCTATTTATGTGGATTTCTCACCATTACAACAACATTAAAATAATAATAAACATTGATTGAATATTTCTCATATGGCTGGCCTTATATGAAGAACTCTGTATAGATTGTGTCTTTTGATGTTTGCCACAACACTTTAAGTTGGGTGTTATTATTCCTCTTTTCATAAATGAGAAAAGCAAAATCTTACAAAGGTTGAAAAGCTTGTGCAGGGCACACTAAAAGTGGCATAGCTGGGCCACCGGTCCTCTTGACATCAAAATACTTTATCCCTTAAACTGTACTGTATTTATCTTGTAATATTAATAGTTATGGAGGAGGAGTGGTTTCCTCAACCATTTAAACTGAGATGTGCAACAAATGCAATTTCACTTTTTCCATAACAAAACTTAGTGTCTTTCCCAAATCTCCAGCTTATCCAGAAGTAGCAAACACAAACTGACCAATTAAGGATTTTTCAGAATTAATTCAAAATATATTCAACCAATTTAAGGTTTTCTCCTATTACTTTACCTCAGGGGAGTCACCTAATTTCTAGGGCTTATATTAAAAAAGAGTTGCATGTTGCAAGATAAATTAACCCTGAAACATCATTGGCTTATCATTTAAAAGCTTATTTTTGCTATGGGTCTGACAGCTTTCTTCCAAATAATTCTTTAGGAAACATTCTAGCTTCATCTGTGGCTCATCCATCTCAACATGTTATCTCCATGATTGCTGTCATAAAGAAAAGGATTTTGGGGGTTAGACAGAGGCTTTCACTGCCATAGCCCAGAAGTGACATATCACTTCTTTTCATGGTCCATTGGTTAAAACTAGTCACCTGGTCCTGCTCATGTTCAAGGTAGCTGTGGGTACACATGGATATAGATACTGGATGAACATAAATTTTTCTGACATATGGCTAATGTAGCATTATGTCAATGAAGGGAAATGGCTAGTCCTTGGCCAATATAGGATGATGGGATCTTTTAGAATATACAGTGTAGCTCTTAGGGGCGCCTGGGTGGTTTAGTCGGTTAAGCATCCGACTTTCGCTTGGGTCATGATCTCGCGGTTCGTGGGTTCGAGCCCTGCGTCGGGCTCTGTGCTGACTGCCAGTTCAGAGCCTGGAGCCTGTTTCAGTCTGTGACTCCCTCTCTCTCTGACCCTCCCCTGCTCACACTGTCTCTCTCTCTCTCTCTCTCTCCCCTAGAAATAAATAAAACATTAAAAAAAATTTAGGATATACAGTGTAGCTTTTATTATTGATGATGATCCTTATTCTAACTTTGTCTTAAACCAAAATGCCTACATTCCTAACTGGTAGCCAGCTAGTTAGTCTAATGCATGTTCCACTGACATATATCCTTAATGTGACCATGGTTCTTGCAGTTTCCTGTAGTCCTGGACCTTTCTAGAGAACATAGTAAAATTTGCTTGCTCACATTATTTTGAGGCTCTAGAAACTTGGTCCTGCTACCAGAGACTCCCCATGCTGACACATCTACCCACTTACTCCCAATCCAAGGGCAGATGCAATTCTGTGAAGTCACTTTTCAAGGTTCCAACAGAAAGCGAGCAATCCTTTTCATTTCCAAACTTGACTTCAGGGAGGGTGCAGAACCAAATCATATTTCTATGAATAGAGTCAAAGTCTATTCATGGGCGTGCACCAGAAACTGCCATTTTCCTCTTCATCTTGGTTTTTCCTCTCCAGGCCAGAGTTTTATTGATTGGAAAGTGGAATTGGTGGGGAAGGAAGAGTATTGTGAAGTATTCGTTCTAGCTAATCATTATTTTTCTTTTCTTTTCTTTTTTTCTGAATTTCAAATGTTTTTATTTATTTCTGAGAGAGAGAGAGAGAGAGATAGCGTGAACAGGGGAGGGTCAGAGAGAGAGGAAGACACAGAATCTGAAACAAGCTCCAGGCTCTGAGCTAGCTCTCAGCACAGAGCCCGATGTGGGGCTTAAAACCACAAACCGTGAGATCATGACCTGAGCCTAAGTCAGATGCTTAACCGACTGAGCCACCCAGGTGCTCCACTAACCATTATTTTTCTAAATAGTGAATTTAAAAGCCAATCTTTTGCTTTTTTTCTAGTTCTGCTCCTCCATGGAACCATGGAGGTTTCCCTCTTGTGGCCTAGAGAGTTTCTCACTGGGTGAAAAACAAAACAAAACAAAAATTGTGTGTGTTGATGGGGGAACAAGTTTGTACTAGGTACTACACTAAGCAAACTACATACATCGTCTTACATAATCTTTATAAATTATAAAGTTAGTGCTGTATTTTAATATTTGTTAGGTTCAGATGCTGGTGGGACATAACAAATGGCCCCCAATTAGAGAAAAGGCAGAATTCTTTATTACTTACAGCTTTATCTGTGAGAAGGCTGCCATGCAGGGCCACACAGGAAGGTACATCTAGAGAAAAGAGTAATAGCAACCTGGAGCTGTAGGAGGAAGCTTATATGTGGCAAGCCAGGTGGAGTTGGAGAATTTTCCCAAAGAAGTATGTTTGTCATATGGGGCCTCGGGCAGTTGTATGTGGCACTAGAGTCTGACAAAGAAAGAGACTGAGGTGTAGGTTTGGCAAACTTCCCACAGAGTATTGAGAGTTTTTAGCCATGATCTCAAAACTGGGTCAGGACAGCACTTGTAAAATATTCTACTACAAGCTGTCATGGTTCCTCCTTTTCAGTCAAACTGAAATGTAGATGTATTAAGTTGCCTAACCAAAAGTCACACAAGTGGATCTTGGCTATAGTGCCTCTCTAAGTGAAACCATTCTCTTTACACCATTTCTAGGAAGGCTTTATCAGGCTTTTTTTTTTTACCCTTCAACTTGGATCTTTCTTCTGTCTTGAACACATCATTTGCATGACAGCCAGAAGCTATCATGTGTCAGGTTTCTATGCATTTACTTCTTTAGGCTGTCGGCCCAGACTTAAACCTTACCTTGGCACATTTTGCTTTCCAAACTCTCGGTGCTTGGTACCCAGTTGTCCCTCTGGATTTTCACAGAAAGAAGGTGTCTGTAGAGGAAGGAGAGAAACTACTCATATTATTTAAAAAATAAATTCAAAACTTTTTTGAACAAAAAATCTTCATATTATTAATAAAAATACTGTTTATTGACAAAGTTCTGGTAAAAGAGCATTTTAGTATCCAGTGGGTTAAATATAGTGCGTTACTTTGCAGGGTAATTTTAGAGCACTTTTACCTTTGGCAATAAGAGCATCATCGCTTAACACTCTACAGGAAATGATTGGCTTCATTCTGCTACATGCTATATTCCCCCAACTCTCAGTGAGTGACAGATCCAGTAGAAATCATCCTCAAGACATTTAATACCAAATGGTCAGATGGGTCAACTTTACTCTTATGTGACAAATATACATTTCTGTTCCAATGTTATTTAATTGTCTGAGCTAATCCAAAGATTGTGTAAGATGAAAAATATTGATATCTTCCTTTTAGAATAGAAGGCACATTGTGTAAAATATTTGAACACTGATCTGGATTGAATTGGAATTCTCACTAAATATAGTAACAGTTCTACCATTGTTGTCAAAGAACATATAACAAAGTACTAATCAGATGTTCTGCTGTTTCCCTGTCTACTCAGAAACTCAGCTTGAATTTTAAGGTGAAGAAAGAAGAGAAAATACTGGAAAATAGTTTTGGTAATATCAATCAAAGGGATAAGATAGAGACACTTTTAAAAAATAAAATGGTTCTAAATGAACTCATTTGCTTGAAGATATTTTTTCAAGCATGAGTATTTGTTTTTATTATTTTTTATTTTAGTTTTCTAAGAACGTTTTAAACTTATTTAAGAATAATGACCAAATTCACCATTTTGATAGTAAAACTCATTATTATAATCTGATCCACAAATTTCAAATTACAAATGCCCACAAAGCCAAACTATACTGTCTAGTCACCCACTCTTGATTATCCTATTTCACAAGACTCCCAGAAATCTAAATACTTGGGAAAATTCTATTCACCCAACTATCTGAGACATAGGAAAGGCCTGTGTAAAAAAGGGAAACATAAATGGAAGTTGTTTTTTCCAATAGATCTATAGCAATAACTAAAATAATAATGTTATCAAAGGAGCTTTTACTTTTTTAAACATTTTTAGTGAATATTTAGGTTTTGAGAGAGAGACAGAGCACAAGCAGGGAGGGGCCGAGAAAGAGGAAGACACAGAACCTGAAGCAGGCTGCAGGCTCTGAACTGTCAGCACAGAGCCTGACACGGGGCTTGAACTTGTGAACCATGAGATCAAAATCTCAGCCATCCGAAGTTGGACACTGAACCGACTGAGCCACCCAGGTGCCCCAAAGGAGTTTTATACTTGAAGCATAGTATATAAAACTTCAAAACCTCTCAGAGATGTTCAACAAATGATTAATGACTTAAAATTGTTTCCTAGGAGGAAAAGCTGAAGGAACAAAATATAAAGAGCAAGGGACAAAAAGCTATCAGATGAGTGACATATCATCAATGACTAGTCTGAATAATTCCCCAAATCAACTGACACCAAAGAACCAAAAGAACCAAAATAGCTTCTGGGGTTCTAGGCCCTTAGCTTCTGTCGCTTTTCTCTACAGCCACCATGCCCAATCTTCTGCCTGGGTCCCTTTCTGGCATTCTGTCCTTTATTCAGGATAGAGATCTCATACTACTGTTTATACCGCTCTCTAGTTCACAATAACATGTTGCTTCTCAAGTGTCTCAGTGAGGTCTTCATCTGGAGGCATATAAGTGCAAATTCCTCACTTGACAAAGAGAGAAGGCCATTGAGGTAAGCCTCTTAGATTTGGTTGCTCAGTGAAATTCTTAAAAGGATGAATTCTAGACAAATATCAAATGCCATCTTGGTAGGGGACAGAAATGGCAACACAGACTATGTGGCTTGGGAATTGTGGGTGGAATGGAAAGGTTATATTGTGAGTGTCTGACTACCACTTTGATGCTCTCTCATTCACTAGCAGGACTCAGAAACCTCAGTATCAGTCTATATTCACAGCCAGGAGCAGAAAAAAGATGTGCATTGGAAGAAGTCCAGAGAAGTCAGGCACAGGCCTCTGAATCCTTCTCCTTCTTTGATCACACAAGATGTATTTTTCCCTGTAGCAGGGAACTGTGGAGATGCATGCAAAGTGGCTCTCCCCAGGAAAGCCTCCTCAAGTCTCCAGATCCAAGGTTTTTATGGAGAATTGATCATGTAGATACACCCTGCTATGCAAACAACCATAGTAACTGAAATTCAGAATCCCAATAGTGAAATTAGGAACATCACCAATCTTCATGTCTGCATAAGTCAATGCTGACAAGTCCTCACAAGCTGGTATAGCATGCCCCATCCCTCCAGGGATACTTAACAATATCATCAGTTAGTAACATAAAAAGAATCCCGAGGGCCACATTTCCAGAGTTTAGAATCAATCATGGATCCAGGCTCCCTGGAAACATGCAAAGATTAAGCAACCAGACCTGATATTCTATTTCCCCACATAGTGTTGACATGTGTGGAAATAGGATGAGAATATGACTAGTGATTACATTCCCCTTTCTGCTCCCTTACCCAGCCCACAGATTGAGGGAGACATTGTTAAATATCCCTCTTTGATGTTGTAAAATCAACATCAGGTCTGATATCTAGGAAAATTTTCTCCTGCTACTTGGGGATAGTAAACTAGAGTAAGGTGCTATAGAGAACCACTGTGTCTTTTTTCCCAATGAATATATAAATCCAGGATGCCAATTTTGTATTGAACTCCTTAAGTGAAGAGGGAAAGCCAGGTTGTTCTTTCCTGGCATGATGGAATGATCCCAGAAAGTTAGAAGATATAGCACAAACTAGTATTTTAGTTATCTTGGGCAAATAGTTTTTTAAGTTACGTTAGTTCTTGCTGTGCAAATAATTCATATTTATTGGATAAAATGAGTATAAAATGAGAATAGAACTAAAAATTAAAAATCATCATATGGGATCATATCATATATATAAATCCTTAAATCCACACAGAGTATTTTGCAAATATGGGATTGTTTGCTATATATGCTCCATTAACTTTTTCCCCTTTGACATATCATAATTATTTTCTAGGTCCATGAATACTCTTTAAAAGGTTTGTTTGTAACAGGTGCACATTCTTGCATTGTCTGGAAGTACTATAATTTTAGCCAAATTATTAATTGATGACATCTACATTGCTCTGGCCTTTCATATACATCATACATTATTTTCTTAGGACAAATTCTTAGAGGTCGAATTTTGGAGTCAATCAATATGCACATTTTTTAAGAGACTGTGAAAGAATATTTTAGTTTGCCACAATTTACATGTCTAACTTTGGGAGGTCTTCGTGGACAAATTTAGAATCATTTAAAACAAAATAAACACCCACAGAGGGTCAATTTTGACAATCCAGTTCCAGAACTCTGTGTGCCAGTGTTGCTAAGAAAGCTTACTTTGAGCTTCCTTCTCATAGAGATGTTTTGATTTAAGATGAGACCTTCTCTATTACAGGCATGTCCCCAACCTCACTAGGAACATTTTACCCTAGTGACCCTGATTTTGACGTTTTCCCCCAGGACTAGAGAAATGAGCAAGTAATGGGTTACTAAAGCAAGAAATAGTTGATCTGAGATCTAAGGACAAGATGCTTTTCCTCATAAAGTTGTCGTTAACACAGGAGCTGATCAAACAGGACACAGATTTTGAAATCATAGAAATGTCTTTTCCTCATTTGAATTATCTCATCACCAACCACAAACAGTAACTCCAGAGTTGCATTAGTTTTGTGTTCAAACTCTGCAATTCTCCCTTGGGGATGTGAAATATATTCCTTCAGCATTCTTTTGCTATGTCTCAAATATTCCAGCTGGCATTGAGGCTACTTTGTCCTGGGTCCATTCTTTTGTTTTCAATTTCCACCGGCAATCACCACCAAAGATACTATTGCTGTTGAGCAAATCAGAAAAGATAACAGATTATATACTTAATGTTCTATTTAAAAATATAGAGGTTTAATAGCTGCATTTTGAAGACCAGAGGTTTAATAGCTGCACTTTGAAGAAAAATTTGAAAATATTTTCACTTTCCTTCTGATAGTCTTAATTGCTGAGAGCTCTTTGAGAAGTAACATCACTCATTCCCAACAGAAAATCAAGCCCACATGAACAATTATAATGTATTTGAAATACCAATGAGACCATTCTACCCATTTGAAAGGAGTTGGAATCGAACTTGCCAGCCTTTCAGGCTACCACCCACCAAAACTGCTGCTGCTTCATTATATACCCTTTTCCAATAGTAGCCACGGCTACTATTTTTAGATTATATCATTTTTTTCACATTCATAACAATGCAGTAAGAGAGGCATCAAGTGAAGAATTTAAGATGATAAACATTCAAAGTATCTAAATAAGTGGTCATTTCCACTAATGGTCTGTACCAAAAAGGCTCTGAAACAAAACCCAGGGGAAAGCAAGACCCTGGAGAAGAGGGGGAACTATTGAAACTCTAACAGGGCCCTTTTCTAAGAGGGCAAGAGAGAAATCTGGATTTTATAGTAATTTTTAAAGGAAATATACTTTTTTCTATTCATTGAGTAAGCATCATTGATTTTTAGCATATAAGTGAGAAACAATAATTTTATGACATTGAAGAGTAAATGTTTGAAAAACAATCCATGACCCAATGATAGAGGTATTACAGAAGCACCCTAATTACCTGCTGGTCAAAATATGGTGTCAACAAAATTGGAACAATACAATAGCTCCTATGCCTGATATAGGCCCCCAATTCCCTGGCCAAATTAGAGAAAAGAGGAAACTACATCCTTTAACTGCAAAGTTGTTTGCAAGTGAAGGTGGTGGTTGCTTTGCGTTTTATACAAGTGTATTAGATCATAGTGAATTTCCATTTGTTTTTCTCCTGGGGCATTAACGCTACATATAAAAAATTTCCCAGGAAAACTCCTCTTCATTTTTAATGCTATGAGTTTTGGTAAGTCAAATGCCCTAAATCTACATGCTTGAACACCTCAAATCAAACTCTCCCAATAAATGTGTAATCTGGACGCAGGTGAGCATTTTATATTTAGTGAGAAAAAGTAAAGGTCATTTAGCTCTTCAAGGCATATTTTTAAATATTCCAATTTCCCTAGGTGCCAACTATTTGTTTCTTGAACGACCTCGATATTTTACATTCACTAGCCTGGAAAGGTCATTTCCTAGAAATGTAATTCTCTTAACTGGAAATGTCCATGTTTCTCATTGTTTGTTTGAAATATAAAATATGTTAACTTGCATGTAACATGCCAGAAATAGATGTGGTGCTAATTTACACAAAGTTCACAGCCCCAAGTTATGTGTGAGATGAAATTTATGCCTTTTGTTCAATATCTTTACAATTCTCTCCTGCTGAACACTGTTTTTTCAACTTTGTTTTTTTAGTCATTGAATACTGAAATGTTCTGTTGACACACAAGACAAAAGCTCTGTTAATTCCACATCGTCATATTTTTTTGGATGCACATGCACCAAGAAAATCCCAGCAGCATGAAATTTCACTTCATAAAGCAGTTACGCAAAGTTTTTAAAAATATACTTAAGAAATAGGATGAGATGATAAAAATGCCTTTCCATAGCTATTAAAACTTGAACTTAAAAAACAGTTGATACGGGGCGCCTGGGTGGCTCAGTCGGTTAAGTGTCTGACTTCGGCTCTGGTCATGAACTCACAGCTAGTGAGTTCGAATCCTGCGACAGGCTGTGTGCTGACCGCTCAGAGCCTGGAGCCTACTTCAGATTCTGTATCTCCCTCTCTCTCTGACCCTCCTCTGATCATCCTGTCTTTCTCTCTCTCTCTCTGTCTCTCTCTCTCTCTCTCTCTGTTTCTCTCTCAGAAATAAAACATTAAAATCATTAAAAAGAAAATAAAAAACAGTTGATAAAAATATTATTGTGGACTGCACAAGAAGTGAGGTACAGGCAGCACAAATAACACTGAAAAAAGTGTGATGTGAATCACATGTGGCCTCTCCTCCTCCTGCTTCTTCAGAGGCTGGTTTCCTGCAGACCTATTTGCCTCTTCTTCCTTTTGCTTCCTTTTTCTCCTGAGTTTACGCATATTTGTCTGAAGATTTATCATTTTCTGCTGCCTTTTTGTCCCCTCTCCTCTTGGGTTCTCCTTTTACTGCCAATTAACTGACTTGAACTTCCTCTTGGGTCCATTGGCAAAGGTTATGAAGGGGAGCCGTATGGCCAGAGCCTTTGAAAACCTGGGCTGCCTAAGGCATTGCCACTGCCCTTTGTTTTATTAGTACCCCTTTCTGTTTCACATGTCAAGATAGCAAAATTTCCTTGTAATTAGGTTATTAATATTTTTTTTCCAAATGTATGTGTTTTTTTTTCTTATGTCTTGTATTTTATTTTGAGAGACAAAGACAGAGAGTGAGCAGGGGAGGGGCAGAGAGAGAGGGAGACACAGAATCTGAAGCAGGCTCCAGGCTCTGAACTGTCAGCACAGAGCCTGACGCTGGGCTCAAACCCACCAACTGTGAGATCATGACCTGAGCCCAAGTCGGACCCTTAACCGACTGAGCCACCCAGGCGCCCCCTATTAATATTGAATCTCTTCAGTTTGAAGGAGAAATAGATCCCTTGAAATCCACACTGAGGTCTACAATGTTGGGATATGATTCATCGCAAAATAACTTGAGTCTATAGAATTATTTTTCAAATAATATCATTATTTGAAAGAGAAATTTTCTAGGAAAATTCTTAAATATGATATTTAAATTTATTTCTGACCTACTTGTCTGCCTAAAGTCGTGTAGAGAATTTATTGTTTAATAACAATTTACATAGCTCTCCTCCATCTCTCCTTTCCATTCCTTTTTCTGTTATTCTCAGTATCTCTGACCTGAAGAGTTGACCTGTAGCGCTAGAGCCTGGAAGGTTGTTTCCCTGACTTTGATGCAGAAATGCAATAAGAAGTCCTGGTTTTAATCCCTGCTAATCTCTGTGTGATATTTGCAAATCATTTAACCTTGTTGAACCTCAGTTTCCTCATGAAGGAATATGACTTTTGGGGGCACCTGAGTGGCTCAGTCAGTTAAGTATCTGACTCTTGATTTCAGCTCAGGTCATGATCTCAGGGTCATGAGACTGGACCCTGCAGAGAGTTCTGCACTGGGCATGGAGCCTTTTAGATTCTCCCTCCCTCTCCCTATAACCCTCCCCATCCTGTGTATTCTCTCTCTCTCTCTCTCAAATTAATTAATTATTTATTTAAAAAATTATATATATACGCATATATACATATATATAGTTGTATATGTACATATAT